AGCTGCGGGTCTTAAGGGGAACTGTGTGCGAGATATCGTCACATTTCTTTTGGTAGCTTGAAAGTGTCGTTGAACAGCAAATATTGGTGTCCACGTTCTGTCTAGACCATCATGATAATAGCCAGTGTATTTCTGGCGCTGCAGTTTTCCCACATTAGTATCTTCAAATTGAACCCATATTATGCTTGGAACTAAGGTCTCTGATTGAAGATTTTCAATGTGTTTGACTGTACATTCGGCACCATTAATTAAACCGTCTTCAAGTGATATGTTTGCTACTATGTCGTACTGATGGTTGACAGCAATTTTGAGAGTTTGAAACAGTCCTCCAGTAGATGAAACATTTTTGATGTTCTCTACTGCTGCTAGGATTTGCTCTTTGACTGATGGCGTGTGATCCCCCATGACAACATTTAGTGCTTTAACTGTAACATGTGCGCTACTATGTGAAAGAACTGAGTCATTATGGCGTCGGACAAATTCCCTCAAAATGAAGAAATGGGGTGCTGCCTTGTCATAATCTGGATGATTGCTTGTAATTTCTCGCTCTTTGATGCGTTTAATATCTATATGTGTATGTTTACCTTCTCGGATTCTATTAAGTATTTGTGCAAACTCTTGATCACCTTTTTGTCGCATAATCTCGTCAAGTTCATATAGTGTAAAGTACTGTTTCCACAGATTGACAGCAAGTGACCCACCAAATTTGTCAGGAAGGTCTTGAAATATAAATCTATCTTGGACTGGAGATAACTGAAACAGATCACCAACTGCGATGACATGTAATCCACCAAATGGCTTGTTACTGCCTTTAAGCTCTTGTAACCGGAGATGTACTAATCGAAACATACAATTTCCAACCATGCTTATCTCATCAATGATCACAACTTGCACATTTCGATATTTTGTTCGATAAGTATTGCAAATGTCAGCATTCAGTGGTTTATAATCTAGACTCTTGTTTGGCTGAATTTTCAAACCACCATGTATTGTTGAACCTTTTACTAGATATGCGGCTTTGCCAGTTGGAGCTAATATAAGGACTCGGCTATCTTCTGGATTATCACCGGCTCGACAGAAATATCTTGTTAAAACCTGATACAGCGCTTTGAGGACGAGACTTTTACCAGTTCCAGCACCACCATGTAGAAATGCAAATAACTGATCATTCTTTGTTTTTAGTGCATGCACTACGTGACACACAAACTCTGATTGTTTCATGTTTAGTGACTGTAAAAGCTGTCTGTAATTGTTATCAGGAAGTAAACCACCTAAGAATTCAATACTGTCGGGGTTATATCGATGGCGCATACCAAGGTCCAAGCCAATATCATAAACCCTCTGATTTTCAGGGCGATCAGGATTAAAGAACATATATCTACTGCTTTCTTTTGAACCTTGCTGCATGTCTTGTAGTTCTTGGTGTTGTGTACTTGGGGCAATGTCGTCATCATGTTCACGATTATCATTCATTGACTGCAATGCTGCGTCTAAATCTTCCATGTGAGCTTCATATTGTTTTCGTTTACTCTGTAGAGCAGTTTTGACGTGGTTGTAGTGATCATGGTAAGTGTCGAAGTCTGCTTTCAAGTCACGTTCTTCATTTCGCCAACAGTGATACAACATTAATCTTTCCCGACAAAAGTTTTCTGGGTCGTGTTCTTCATTGAAATTGACAAATCTGATAACTTTCGGGTTTGTTCGCTGACGGAATTTAACTCCGTTCTTGGAAGTGAAATTGATCATATTGCGAGGATCATGATCGTGAGCTACCTGATCGTCATCTTTATCGTCATCGAAGTTATCCAAATATTCTTCTTTGGTTGTTTTATTAGGAAATGTCACATCGATTTGTGAAACAAAGTCTGCAAGACACCATCGTTCAAAATACTTAGGTCTGTTTGCATAAACTTTAAGAGGACCTCCTACTCCTATATCAGTGGAGTGTTTAGGCAGTCGTTTCAGTGAGTCTTCATCTTTTAGTAGAAATGTCCTGTCATTTGGATGAGCAGTATGAATGAATATTATGTCTCGTGATGCTCTCGTTACTGGTAGTTGTAGGACTAAGAAGCATGCCTCTTGTGCTCCGACTATCAATTCCATTAAGTAGTTTATGACCAATATGTCGGACTTGTTCTTTCAGATTCATGTTGTTGTCTCTCGCTTCTTTGCAAGCATCAGTTAGTAGCGTACTTACATTTGATTGGGACTTACTAATGTAATCTGCTATGTATACTGCACAAGCATATGCATCCAATACAAACTGTATATCATGATTTGCTCGCCAAGCTCCTAGTAGGTGTTTCATGTACGGGTTGATTCTAATTTCAGCTGTGTGTTCTTTTCAGGAAGACCTTCGCTTGTTTTAAGAACTTCTTACAATTTTATGTATTCTGTTTCAGACATTTTTAACTTTTCTAGTAATTGCTGAAATGTTATATTTTCACCATATCCCATATCATTGAGCATCTGTCGAATTTCGTCATGTTTTTTTGTATACACGTCAAGATCTTCTTCATCACTATCTAATGGTTGTAGAATCATTGTACACGGCATTGGTTCGATAGGGAAACCAAATCTACAAAGTGGTTTTTTGCTCTGTTTCTTGCAAGTTTTGGAATGCTTATGCGTCTGTAAATCGAGAAATGATTCATCTTCATTACTAACATCTCTAGAGCAAGAAAATATATTTGTGATGAATTCTGTAATATCATCAGGGGATGACTTTTCGACAGTTGGAGCATTATCTATCCACAATAAACCATGGACATGTGGACTGCCTCTCTGCTGAATTCATATCTGATAAAGCTATCGAGAATTTGCCAAGTGGTGCGCAGCTGCTTTTCAGCAAGTCATTGAAGAATGTTTGTACTCTATGACAAAAGAAGCGTGCACATGTTACTGGATCAGATGATATCAACCTTGATTTCTCAACCCAACTCATGCTTGCTATTTCATCAGGCGTGTAATGTTTGTTATCAATTAACTGTCCTAAACATGTGAGGAGGTCAGGCCAGTGTGTGTCAGCAGCTGACAGACTGATAAAGAATGTTGGGATTCCTAACTGTCGAATCATTGCAAAAATGTCCTTCTTACGTTTTTGCATATAAGGTGGAGAATTTCGGAGTGTTCTGAATATATAGTAGCCCTCATCTAGTTTGACAATGTTCTCACGTTGACCTTTGTCTAGCATGTCTTCTGCTGTGAACGTTTGACCTTTCTTCTGACATCGTCTTAACGCTAGAAAAACTTTATCTGTTATTTGTTTAATCTGAGTTCTTTTTAGCTTGTAAAAGATGTTTGGAATACATTGAGCAACGCGCCTGTCAACGGATCGGAGTTCATATTTACAAATGTCACTATAGTAGACAGGTACTTGTCTTTCATGATTTTCTGGGCGTTTCTGTCCACAGAAGATCGTGGGGAAAGCAAGATATTCCACATCCGGATTCTGAAACATACTTATAGGTTGTTGTCCTTCTCCAGGTGCAAGTGTTAGGACCCTGTTACTGTCTAAACTAGGCTCATCTAGCATAGTGTCCATGTTACCAGTGGTCAACTCTGTTTCATCAATTTCACAAAAATTGTCATCATTGTCATTGTCATTAACAGTAGCATTGTTATGACGACTAGTATCATGGATATCAGGTGAAGAGCTGCTTGTCTTCGCAGTGAGGGTTTCCAAGTGACATACTGAATTGCTTCGTATTACTGTTATATTAGTGGTCTCGGGAGACGTCTGCATCATTGAAATGGGCTGTGAAATGTATGCTTCGTCGTCAGCATCTAGTTCATTCAATCTTTGTAACCACCTATCATCGATATGGATATTTTGTTTTTTGAACAAATCACTGTTGTTCATTAACCAGTGAAGTGCAGATATGACAGAAAGTGGACGTACAGTCTCAACAAATTCACATTTTCTATATTCCAGTTTTTACGTTGAGTTTAATTGAGACAGTCTCACTTTCATGGAGGTTTCTGGGCAGACAATTCACCATGTTCGTCACATCTACTGGAACGTTGATTACATTTCCACGTATAGCTAGCTGCCTACCACGTGGTAATTCTCGTATCTGCATGAATGGGATAATGGGAGCAATAAGTCGTTCTTCAAGGTGATGTATTCTTAGCTGTGAAGGTTGGAGAGGGAAACCCATGCCATTAGAAATAGATAGTTTTGGTACTTTGCCATTTATTATGGACACTTTGCACGTGTTACAGATCCACTGTACCTCATTAACTGAATGTAATTGTGAGATATTTACACATGACTTCTGAATTCATCATTTTCATTGTAACCTTGGCAACTGAATGCTTAAACCATGTTTGTTGACAAACTGAACAAACATATATAGGTCCAGTCATTGTACGTTTGATAAAATGGTCAATGCAATGTTTTAATGTAGACTTCCTTTGTCGTTCCCATGATATCTCCTTAGAAATATACTCAGGTTGCTGTCTAGCCGTTTGCTTACTGCGCTGCTGCTGTATTCTCTCTTTAGATGCAAATTCAGGTTGCTGTCTAGATTTTTCTGACTGCGGCTGTGCTGTATTCTCTCTTTAGATGCAAATTCAGGTTGCCGTCTAGCCGTTTGTTTACTGCGCTGCTGCTGTATTCTCTCTTTAGATGCAAATTCAGGTTGCTGTCTAGATTTTTGCTGACTGCGCTGGTGCTGTATTCTCTCTTTAGATGCAAATTCAGGTTGCCGTCTAGCCGTTTGCTTACTGCGCTGCTGCTGTATTCTCTCTTTAGATGCAAATTCAGGTTGCCGTCTAGCCGTTTCCTTACTGCGCTGCTGCTGTATTCTCTCTTTAGATGCAAATTCAGGTTGCCGTCTAGCCGTTTCTTACTGCGCTGCTGCTATTCTCTCTTTAGATGAAATTCAGAGTTGCCGTCTAGCGTTTGCTTACTGCGCTGCTGCTGTATTCTCTCTTTAGATGCAAATTCAGGTTGCCGTCTAGCCGTTTGTTTACTGCGCTGCTGCTGTATTCTCTCTTTAGATGCAATTCAGGTTGCCGTCTAGCCGTTTCTTACTGCGCTGCTGCTGTATTCTCTCTTTAGATGCAAATTCAGGTTGCTGTCTAGCCGTTTGCATAGTGTGCTGATGCTGTATTCTCTCTTTAGATGCAAATTCAGGTTGCTGTCTAGCCGTTTGCTTACTGTGCTGCTGCTGTATTCTCTCTTTAGATGCTAATTCAGGTTGCTGTCTAGCCGTTTGCATAGTGCGCTGCTGCTGTATTCTCTCTTTATGTTGATATTCAGTGTCTGTTCTTTGCCGTTGTTTGTACTGCTGCATATACTTTGTGCGGTCAGGTTGTCTGGATTGTTGACACTCACGTTGCTTTTTGTTTAGTGCTTGGCACTGTAGTTGATTGATCATGTAGTTATTCATCAATGTTCGTGTTGTCACCGTTTGTTCATCACATCCAAAGTCTATATGAGGGTATGTACCTTGCCGCTTGAAACCTAATTGTAGAGCCTTATGTGTTATTGTTTTTATTTCAATGGGAGTCATTTCAAAAATGTTAGCACCTAACTTCAAGCTCAAAACTTTGACATATTGTGTTAAATCTACTACACTGTTGAATGCAAGTAAAACTGCAGTGCCATTAGAAGCTGGTAAGCCATGGTCATTGCGAGCATGAGAATCAAATAAGAAATATTGACCATTGTTTAGAAAAACTGCAGATGCATAGCAACCAAGACAAATGAGAGCATATGGGTTAGATGCATCTAAGCTTTGTAAGCTATCAGCAAGAACACTGTATGGAGCTTCAGCAGTTACAGCATTCACAAGACCAACCATTGATGTTTTGTCTGTAATTTTGAAGTTCTTGTCAAAACATGTGAAATACTTTGGAATCTCTGACACTAGAAGGAAATCCTGTGACTTAGGAGTCTGTGTGTAAAAGCTATCTCCACTTACCAATATTTTGTTGAGATCTTCAGCCATCCAGTTATTGACATTGCTAACATAGCTGTACACTAATGATAGAAGGGCATTAGTCATACATTGCTTTCCTCTAGAATTTGGGTGAAATAAATCTGCACCTTGATGGTAATGTCCTTGAATAATGTGAGCAAAATGATATGCTTTTTCTGGGCTTTCGTTTGGTCCAATATCAGTTTCTTCCATAATGGCAAAGATTTTATAAAATGGCGAGTGATATGAATCAAGAATGCTATGTGTTCTGCAATGCAATCTTTTGTAACAATTTCTAACAAGCACCTAGCTGAGAAATGTGAACTTATATCACTATTTTATTCTTATATTATATTATTATTTGATAAGTTATGCACAGTGGCTTTTATTATTTCATAAGTTATGCACAGTGGCTTTTATTATTTGATAAGTTATGCACAGTGGCTTTTATTATTTGATAAGTTATGCACAGTGGCTTTTATTATTTGATAAGTTATGCGCAGTGGCTTTTATAGTCCTCCACAATCTGAGCCGGAGTAAAGCTCCTCAGTGCTTAACACTGAATGCGTATATTAGACGGTGCTAATACATAGGCAGTATAGTCCTCCACAATCTGAGCCGGAGTAAAGCTCCTCAGTATCTCACTGAGTGCGTGTATTACACAGGGGCAATACAGAGGCAGTAGTGACGACTAGGACACGGTGGTCAAAGTCGGATCACTCTACTCCCCACGATTACACGGTGGTAAACGTGAGGATGGGTTGAGCTCCAATAGTGGCGACTAGAACACGGTGGTTATAGTCGGATCACTATCTTCCCTGTACGCTTACACGGTGGTAAGCGTCAGAGGTTGTTGAGCTCCAACTGAAAAAGAAAGCAATGGTACGTGAGTAAATAGTGTGTGATACTAGTACTATAATTAGCCATCAAAATTCGATATAAATATTGTTAAATTTCTGCAAAATAAATACATAAAAATCATGCTACGTGAGTAAATATTCTGTTAGAATTGATATAAATAGAAACAATTGGTATAAATAAAAACAATTATTAACAAAATGTATATATTGAGTTAGTATATGATACTATTCCTACAGGTAGTTGTCAAAATTCGAGATAAAAATGCCCTATTTGTTGTTATATATGGATCAATATATGCATTAGCAACACGTACAGTGTACACCAACACCCCTAGCAGGGCAAGCGCCTTCAAGCCGATAGGCCACCAAAACATCATTTCTACCGAATTGCACAGTAGTGAACTAAAATGTCGTGTAATATTACCTAACTGCAAATTTGTTTAAAAAAAAAACGTTTTAATGGCCATTGAAGCAATTTAAGATGTGACAATTTCAAAATTAACCGCTTCGAACAGAAAATGGGCATGGCTTACATGACATCAGACCGCGGTCACGCATCGAAACATCTTTGCATGAACGCCAGCACGTATGCCCCAAGTTGAGTGAGTCGCGATTGTAGCACCTAGACATATCTGGCTATTTATTCGGTTATATATCGACAGATATCGAGCAATACTTATATACTGCGTTAGAAGGAGGGTAGTACTATTTATTTTTTGTTTATTTATTTATTAATTTAAATACGGTACATTTGTAACAAATATAACATGAGCTAGCAAGCTCCTGACCGTGTGTGAACAAATATGGTATACAAATGTATGATTTGTTTCGATATGCTGATCAGAATAGTCATAACAAACTGTTGATATGTGGGTCACCTAACCATCCATGCCCCAACTTGGCCGGGTGACTCGCGGTTCTAGTACCTAGAGATATCTGGCTATTTCTTTGATTATATCAATAGATATCGAGCAAAACTCACATATTAGGTTAGGAGCATAGCACTATACGTAGCTATAAATATTAGGTATAAACATGTTCGATTTGTTCTGATATGTAACATGTTGATAAAAATAGTCATAACAAACCGATTGTCAGAGGTTCTAAACTTACGCGACTCGCAGTTCCAGTACCTAGAGTCTATCTGGCCATTTCTTTGATTATATCAATAGATATCGAGCAAAACTCATATATTGGGTTCGAAGGAGGGTAGTACTATAAGTAGCTATAAATATTAGGTATAAATATGTTCGATTTGTTCTGATATGTTGATAAAAATAGTCATAACAAACCCGGTGGTTGTAAACAGCCAGTGGTTATAAACTTACGCGACTCGCGATTCTAGTACCTAGAGATTTGATTATATCAACAGATATCGACCAAAACTTATATATTGGGTTAGAAGGATGATAGTACTATAACTAAGTAACTGTCAAAATTAGGTATAATAACTGCTAAATTATTGTGATATTGTGACATAAAAATCATAGGTTACACGGGCCCGCTCGTTCTACGGTGGCTCAATCTGTGCGGATTCACCTGCTTACTAACGCTTATCTTGGTACTATCAGTTTGAAGGCTAAATATAGGTCAAATTACTGGCCGTTTGCTAGCCACATGCAATACACAAGTTACCTTCTTGCTTAACACTGCGTCCCCAGGCGAGAAGACCTACGACGTGAAACAGTCCTTTTCTCCTAATCGTCTGTGCTCCTCCTCCTCTAATTCCTCTGTATCTTGTATCTTATATTTTAAGGACCCTCTCTCGTATTTTTATTCTTCTTACTTCTTATTCCTTCTTCTTATTCCTTCTTCTTATTCCTTCTTCTTATTCCCTCTGGGCGTAGCCAATATCGTAAACAAAACGCAGCGACACCTGGCGCCATCGAATTCATTTAATTTCTCTTCTTAACACGTTCAACGCTGCCGGTGTTAACGATGCACCTACCGCCCTGCGCAGGCATTTGTGGGTTTTTACTGGGTTTTCACTTTTTGATTTAACACATTTCCTTTGCAGGAAAGCTAACCAAACTGACACATTCACTCTGCATGAGTGTTATCTCACCCTTACACGTTCAAATAGTATGAAAATCGTTCCCCTTCATAATAATGTATTGATATGAAAACAAGGAAAAAACGGAAATTTCGTGCATTTTCGTCTCAAATGCCACTGCACCGGTGGATATTCACGAGTTTGTTATCATATCATCACGTCATTTTAGCGCATGCGCAGTTTACTGGTTGGCAAAATTAAGGCATTGCTTCTAAGCCGTGTTTATGCGGTGGCATCGTAAAAAAGAAACGTAATGAGCCATAAACAGGAATATATACCAGTGCAACGATGAAAAACTTCAAATCGTTTCAAGCTTATCAGTATGTATATTGTTTACAAACGTAATTTGGCCAAAATCTTTACTTGTAACTATGCAAAGTGGCTCAGTAACAGTGTCAGTGTTATGACTATGATACTATGAGTTAACCTAAACCGACCCGGCTCTCCGACTAGTTAGACGGCGGAGGACACGTACGCCTCTCGCCACGTAGTGGGGACTTGTGGCTAGAGTTAACCCAACCAGGCTGTGTGACTGACGTCGGTAGTCTAACCATAGCAATACCGTTTCTTGGACCTAAGTATGAGTATGAGTAGTGCACAGTCGATACAGCACTGCATGTCAGCAGGTAATATAATTTTTGTGCTATGGTAGTATATACATCTCTCATTCTATGGTTCTATGGTATACAGGCTGCAAATTGCAATAGAGAGCTGCCACCTGTAACCAATTAAGGCAGGCAAAAACTGCACAAACACATGCACTAGCAGCAGCCACTGGCAGTGGCATACGTTACATGTTACATACTGACAGTATAGAATGACATAGAAATTATACGATTTAAGGAACATACACCTTCTTTAACCAAATTTCGTTTTTGGAAAGTTTCACTGTGACATTGTAGGCCTCATACATCCAGGCATGTATACGATCTACTAGCAAACCCGGCAGTCAAATTCTTTTCTAACAGACAGTCGATACAAATCCAGATTTAAGCCTCCTCTTGAGGGTCAAATAGGTTATGCGACACTTACTCTTCAGCATGTCACGGCAGAAGGGACATCTTCATGGTCCTTTCAATAAAGCCATAAAAATGCTAGGTCACCGCTGAACACAAAAAAAGTTTTTCAAGTCGGCTTCCGTCAGACCATGTCCTTCACGAAAATGTCTTAAAATCTGCCCGGTGCCCACTCACCTTTGACCTGTGACTTCCAATTATCGCACAGGTGATGGCCTTTTCCTACATGAATGCTATACAGCCGTGACTATCACGAGCCTAGGTCGAGCCGTTTAGATTTTGGCCGCAATTCTGCATTTCCCTCCCTATATCCTTAAGTTAAGGAGTGAATGTTCCCCCTTCTTTTACACTCTTTGACCTTCTTGACTTTGACCCCAACTTCGACATCCCAATATCGTTTTTCGGAGTTACCCCCCACTTCCCGAAATATCGTGACGCGTCGTCGAGCGGTTAAGATTTGCTGCGCCAACTGATGACGCCCGGACGGCAAGGACGCGAGGCAGGAACGGACGGCAGGTCGGACGCCACGACGCACGGGTACCGATCATGCGATTCTAACAAGGCTGCAATCTGACTATGTCAGATGAGCTAATAAAATAATAAATAAAGTGTGCAGAGACGCCGACCTCGCAATGCCACGTTCGCCCGCAGCAGCCGCAGCCGCACGCTCGTTGTCATGGCAACGCATACCTGTCTGCGCTTCCTCGAACTTGTCGTTCTCGGCCAGCCACTGCGCGTATGGCACGTAGACTAGCTCCCTGAACTGCGGATGCTGCTCGGCTATCACGAACGCTGCAACAAGGAAACGCGCAGATGTTTACCTGTGCTGCTGCTGCAGCAGACAAGATTAATCTCCGGGCAATGATAAACGCTCTATGTCACAGCAGCAGGCTAGGTAGTTCTGGGATTCGTACTCATGAATTCATGCTTTTGACCGTCCTGACGCCGTTGGATAACATGAGATGATGCATGACTAACCCTAACCCTAACCCTAACCGTAATGTTAGATCAACCCCCTAACTATAACCCTACCCCTACCTCTAACTGTAACCCTACCCCTACCCCTACCTCTAACTGTAAACCGCTAATGCTAATCCTCTAACGTAACCCTAGCCGCCTACCACTGTCCCCTACTACCTGCTACCGCTCGTACCCTACCCTTACCTCTAACTTGTAAACCCTACTCCGCTACTCTAAACTGTAAACCCTACCCCTACCCCTACGCTCTAACTTAACCCTATCCCTCCCTACCCTACTGTCCTTCCTTACCGTAACCTTACGCTAACCCCTGGTAGCTGCTAAAGAAATGTGTGATGGTGATGTTGCACTCACATCGTCCCAGTGCTTGGCTGACACATGTAGCTGCACCAGCGCCCCGACATCACCCATCCTGTTGTACACCTCAGCTGCATAGCTGTGCTTGTCCATCTGTGTGAAGTATTGAGCGCACTTAGCGAGGGCCTCTCTGTCGGCCTTGTCTATCTTTCTCGAGACCTCAATCAGCCTGTATATAAACAGTAAAAGGAGCTGAACTAACACGTGAATCGTCCCGTATTAAACAATACGCTAAATCTGTAGTTGCCACACAAATTTCAAGCCTAGTTGTGACCTCAGGCTTCACCCCAGCCCAGTTGTGCTAATGCTATATACTCCCACGCCTACACATCACACACTCGTACGCCAGAACGACACTCATGATCAATTACATGCAGCATACTGCATGTTCACGCATGCACACACACACACACTCACACACACACGCACGCACGCACGCACGCACGTGCACGCGCACGCCCACGCGCACACGCACACACGCACGCCACACACACACACACACACACTCACACACGCCCTCCCCCACACACACGCACACACACCCTCCGCCCCACACACACGACACACTCACACACACTCCTCCCACAACACACTCACACACTGCACACACACCCCTCCCCCCACACACCACGCCCACACTCACACACGCCCCTCCCCCCACACACACACGCCCCCTTACACTCACATTTCGGCCCCAGCCGTGCTCTCCTATGATATGCGACGGCTCTGACTTAGTCGCCGGCTGACATGTACATCTTCGGCGTAGCGGCCCGCGGTCGTTGGCTGCTGCGCGCCCATTCAGCCTGCTTCGCCAATCAACGGCTCTCTTGTCACTGGAACGTCGCCGCTCGAGGATGAAGTCCTGCAGGAAGGAAACTAAGGGAGGAGGTACTGTCACTCCCTCTCTTGTTCTCTCTGTCTCTCTCTCTCTCTCTCTCTCTCTCTCGCTCGACGTGCCTCTCTCTCTCTTTCCTCTCTCTCTCATCTCTCTCTTCTCCTCTCGTCTTCCTCTCTCTCTCTCTCATCTCTCTCTCCTCTTCTTCACTCATTCTCTCTCTCTCTCTCTCGTCTCTCATCTCTCTCTCTCTCACTCATCTCTCTCTCTCTCTAACCTCTCTCTTCTCTCTCTCTCTCTCTCTCAAAATCCGGCTAGGGTCGGTCGCATGCCATGGTCTCTCCTCTTCTCTCTCGAGCCGCTCTCTCTTCTCTCTCTCTCTCTCAGCTCTCTCTCTCTCTTCTCTCTCTCTCTCTCTCTCTCTCTCTCTCTCTCTCTCTCCTTCATCCATCTCCTCTCGCTCTTCATCTCTCTTCTCTCTCTCCTCTTGCCCGCTCTCTCTCTTCTCTGTCACACACACACACACACACACACACACACACACACACACACACACACACACACACACACAAAGACGCACGCAAGCACAGGTCACAAACACATGCTGATACCACTAATAAACCAACTATAGCTGATGACTGAGGACTTGGTGGTTAAACCAATCAGCCACACCGCAGCCGCCGCCCCGCCGCCGCGTACCTTGGCCTGGTCGAACATGCGTAGGTCAGAGAACATGGTCATGGCCTTCTGCTCCTGTCCCGATCGCCGGTATAGCTTCGCTGCCTCGGTGAACTTTCCCTGGTACGAGTAGATGTCAGCGAGGAAGATGTTGTTGTCGATCTCCCCCTTCTTCTTCCGGTCCTGATGAGCACATCATGACATCATTACATGACATCATTACATGACATCATCACATCATTACATCACATCATCCCATCATTACATCATTACATGACATCATCACATCATTACATCATTACATGACATCATCACATCATTACATGACATCATCACATCATTACATCATTACATGACATCATCACATCATTACATCATTACATGACATCATCACATCATTACATCATTACATGACATCATCACATCACATTATCACATCATATCATCACATCATTACATCATTGCATCATCGCATTACATCACATCCTCACATCACATTACATCATTATATCAATACATCATCAAATTAAAAAATCACATTACATCATACCACATCACATCACATCATTACATTACATCATCATATCACATCATTACATTAAATTATCACATCACACCATCCCATTACATCATAACATCAGTCACATCATCACATCACATCCTATTGTATCATCACATTATATGACAAAAGCACACTGCATCATTACATCATTGCATTATATCACATCTCTTCACATCACACAACACTCACCCAGTCGCCATACAAAGCACATGAAATCTAAAGCTATGGCCAACAATCAACGCACCATCGCAATAACATTTGGCTGAACGGACATCTGAATATTATCTAGATCCGATCACGCGTACTATATTTCAATAGGTGGCGCCAGTTGCTTATACGTCCCTCGTCCAGGTTTTACTGACATCGTTGGCCTTTTACACCAATACACCAGTACACCAATACACCAGTACACCAGTACACCAGTACACCAGTATACCAATACACCAGTACACCAGTACACCAATACACCAGTACACCAGTACACCAATACACCAGTACACCAGTACACCAGTACACCAATACACCAGTACACCAGTACACCAGTACACCAATACACCAGTACACCAGTACACCAATACACCAGTACACCAATACACCAATACACCAGTACACCAGTACACCAATACACCAGTACACCAGTACACCAGTACACCAATACACCAGTACACCAGTACACCAGTACACCAATACACTAGTACAGTTGTAGGTTATTGTACATCAACTCTTGTAAGCGTTCGTTAGACAACACACTACGTTAACTCGACTGGCACGACTACTGATGACAGACGAAGCTTTCCGTACGT